TGGTGGGGAAGGAGGTTGAGAGTGTGATAACCTGGGTTGTGGGAACACAGTCACTTGCAGTCGTTGGTACCGTGTAGACATTGCTTGTCCCTCCTGGTGCCAATCCACCACCAAATCCAGGCAGGTACGGACCAAGATTGGTACTGCTGGGTACTGTCAGTACAAGAATGCCCATGCGTGTGCACATGCATGCACACACGGACACGTGCGCACACACACACACACACACACACACGCACGCACGCACACATACACACACGCACACACGCACACACACGTACACACCCGCCGGCAAGGCACACATGTTGGGTGCCTACCATCCAGACTTTCCACTGATATGCAGCTGCAGCTCGTGTTAAATTGCAGTGGAGCTCACTAAGTGCCTATTCTGATAAAACACATTCTCACTTAGTATGAACATTGTCCAGAGCACGGGTGTATTGATCCGTACAGAGGTATGTTAACCCTCTCACTACCAGCCATTCAAATATCGATCCACGTGGATCGATGCAATAGGCGATCACTAAATATTTCGTCACACGCTCAAATATTGTCGGATTATTACAAACAAGGGCTCTACGTTTTCAGAAAGACCTTGACTATCGACTGCAACTATCGCTTTCACTCCTTGGTGCATATTTGGCGCACAACGAAGTATTTTTGTAGACTGTAAATTGACTCAATTGCGAAAATAATAAGAAGTACCTCACATACTAAGAACACGTTCCTGCTGCCCATGCGGGTACATTTTTTTATTATTTATTTAATTTAATTTTTTTATTTTTACGGGGAACACAGCCCTACAAAGAGCCATGTGGAGACAACCACAAAACAAGATACAGGGGATGTAGGGACGGCACATCTTATCAGTGCTCTCATGTACTGGCGCACCTAAGCTTACAGTGTTGGCCAAAGACAATTTTAATACGGAGTTATCCGCGGGTAGGGTAGACCACCAAAACTCTTCAGACAACAAGGACGAACGAATACAAGAAGCAAGTCCCCACGTCACCAGACCACCCTTTTGCTCTTCAATTCTAATCAGATTGGCGGAGTCCATGGGAACTTGTGTGTAATAAAAAAGAGGCGATTATGTACTGCACAAGATATTGTCATACCTCCAAGTGGTCCACTGCCATGCGCCACAGGGATGATGGTTGTCCCCACGTGGCGCGAGTCGGTCGGCGATGGTCCGGGTACGAGGTACCACACATTGTTGATGATCGTGTAGAGCTCCATGTTGTACGTGGTCGAGGAGTCGAGTTGCGTAATCTTGGTCAGCAGAGTCGGCTCCACCTCCAAACTCTTGGCAACAGTACCTGCACGTGAGCATAAACAAGTGTAATACTACTTGTACTTGCTTCCGTGGAGTGTGGCTGGTCAACTGTTCGTGCTGTGGTCTGCAAGCGTCGTGTGGTCTCGTCGGGTCAAATGAAAAACCTATTACTATAAACGAGTGACATGGGTCTCGTGTACAGGGTTGGTCAAGAACCACCTTTCCGCTTCCGTGGGACACCACCACTCCCATGATCAGGGGTCACACGCGGGTCCTAAACTATGGGGGATAGCACAACCACACCGAAACTCACTGCTGTAAGTCTACACATTTTCAGTGTATTTAAATTGCAGCCTCCAAGGGCTCGTAAAACAGTTTCGGCCGCAACGAAATTTCAGCCTGTACTGCCACTGCCTGTATATTCTGTCACAATTTACCTTGCAAACAAGTATTATTTTAAGCTGCAACAAATTTAGGCCTCGAAGGTTCTGACCAAAAATAGCCGAATATTTGCTGATTTACAGTAAGACGTTCATGGAGTTCCTGCAGCTGGTACCGAAACTCGACAATGATTTGTACCCCAAAACAAGAGATCGAATTCTGTTTTGCTGTGAGTTCAAATTCGACTTGTCCGGGCCGAGTAGTCAAAGCAGGATGCAAAGGCGACGTTTGTCATTTGACCGAGCGGAGTATTCAAAGCAATATGCAAGGGCTTACACCGGGATTTGACGGTAAAGCGGCTTCAAGAGGCGCATGGCTTATTGCTGCTTACTTCGAGCTGATATCAAACCACCAGTCCACAGTTCATTCTCGGCCGACCCATTCCACTTGCACAATGGCCGATTTTCTCGCTGATAATTTCTCTTCAATTTCAAGTTTGATATGTGCATACAAAGCAGGAATCTGCAGCTGTAGGCCTATGGGCGATTCTATCCATACATCCTCACCATCATCGTAACGGCCACTTGACTACACCAACTAACTAAAAGATCACTTTTCTGCTGTAACTGATATGTCGAGCGCGATATCTCAGGCATGCCACGTCGGAGCGCTTCAGCGATTGTTGCAATGGAACGCTGAGCTCTTTGGCTTCTTCTTAGGTACAGTAAAAACCTGGTGTAAGCGACCTCTGGGTTTAGCGACCACATGCTCTTAACGACCTTTTTTTCCATGCACCGACAGTTCTACACAGACACTGTGAGACCTGGTTCTAAAGACCACCTCGGTTTAACGACCGTTTTTGCTTGCACCGTGGGGTGGTCGCTTTAACCAGGTTTTACTGAACTTTGATTGCGGAATTCCGTCAAGATTTGAGTGAGATACGAACATTTTTGTACATGCATGGCCATCGACCACCAGTGGTAGATATTTGAACGCACAGACTCAAAAAGGGTTAACAGGTAAATGGGCCTTGGTAAAGCAGCAGCACTTGGTCCTGTATAGTGCACATGGGCCTTGGTCGAGAAATCGGAAATATAAAAAATCGGTGTAGCTCAGAAACCGTTCGGAGCATTGTGAGGATGTAACACTATGGATAGAATGGATGGCTACAGTGAAGTCTGTACATATTGACACACGTATTCCCAGATGGTTCTGGTCGTGTGTGCATCATATTCAAGTACTGCAGCGAAAGTTTACCGCGGACACTACGCACCGTTTGTGTGAACGACGAACAAGTGGAATTTCGCGTTGGTGAAGCCGCTCTCCTGTGGACCGCCTTTGGAGTTCTCCAGTGTGGCACCCTTCATGAGGAATACGGCAATTGTGTCCGGTCCCAGAGCGCCGGCCTCCAGTATGGGACGATAGGGCAGGTTGAAGACGTTCAGGCCCGGGATGGGAACACCTCCATTGCCGGCTAGCATCGGTACAGACACAGATACACAAAGGCAAATACAGTGCACTTGTATCATGGTGTACTCATGTGAGTATGCACAAAATAACCCAGCACTCAGAGGGTGTAGCTCACGTATGGGTCGCTGGATTTTATGTACTCTCGGCATACACGCAGACACCACATACAGAAAATGAGACTCAGGGGGGGGGAGTGCACGTGCAAACGCGTACAAATCTCATAGCAGACCGATCTACACAGCCTCCGGTGGCAAGCATTGCTGCTGATTCTTACCTCACTTAACTATCCTGTACATATAGACAGTAGAAACATGAAACCAAGAGGGTACAGCACGAGTGGGTTGCTGTTGTAGTTCAAAATGGCTTTAGCCGTTCTTGGCCATTGGTGTGACAGTGGTACATGACCTTACATGACCTTGCGTGACCTTACATGACCTTGCGTGACCTTACATGACCTTGCGTGACCTTAAAAAGACCTTAGATAACCTTACATGCAGATATGTTGGCTGCTGTTATGGCTGGCGGACCAGTGCGTAACACAGTCACCTGGCTTCTACTGCAGATAGAGTAGTAGCATGCCTGGGAACAAACATACGCAAACACGCACACACACACGCACACACACACACCCACACACACACACACACACACACACACACACACACACACACACACACACACACACACACACACACACAAAAAGAGGCACAAAGCACAGTCGTAATTTCCTGAGGCATCAGAGTCGGCTACAACAACCTGATACGTCGTGAGGAAACAATTTCTGGAAACAGAGGAGTCAAACTACTCGCCAAAAAGATATGCAATTCGTTTCAGAAGTCTCAAAACAAGAGCAAGACATTTCGGTACTGAAATACCGAGGTGTATTGCTGCTGGAGGTGTGGTATACTGAAATTTGACTGTAGCTTGGGATGAATGTTGATGTGCCTCCAAATTACGCTTAAACTCAGTTTCGAGACTTCTAAAACAAACTCTGTTGGCTGCAGCAGGATACGAGTTGTTATATAAATACTCTGCAGTTGCTATGTAACCTTGGCTGCAGCAGGATAGGGAGTTGTTATATATTCACCCTGTTGCGTCCATGAAACATACCTTCAGCTCCACATTGTACATGGCGTAGGATCTCAGGCTGCTGGCCACACACGACCTCTCCGTGATGTTACTACAGCCGGGCACACTACTGGAGCCGTTGAAGAACAGAGTGAAGGAGTGGTAGTGAGTGCGCTCCCAGCGCAGCACTGTGCCGCGTATCACCACCCAGAACTTGGGTATTTCCGGTGCTGAGTGAAGCGACGGATAACAGAATGACACAAAGTCGGGTCTTAGTTTACAACGTAAGAATTCTGAGATACCATAAAAGCCCCTGTATACGCCCACTCGAAATTACGCCCACCCTCCGTGTACACGCCCAGTCGGTGGAAGTCAACACTTTTGTTTCAAAATAGCGCCCATGCCCATGTATACGCCCAGGTATGCTGGCAACACCAGTACATGTACAGGTACTGATACCCAATACTTACTGCTATCCCTATTCCGAATATACGCCCGGTTCCAAAATAACGCCCATGCCCTTGTATACACCCAGGAAATTGAGGCTGCTGTTCTACACGCCCGGAGCCTATACACGGGCTTTTACGGTATAGTCAAACTGTAATTTCACAATCAACAGAATTTTGGTACGTTTGGCCCATTTCTTTCATATCGATAATTTTAACAGTAGCGCAAAATTTAATACCGGCACAAACCATCTATAATGAATTGAGTCTCTGTAGTAGAGTCTGTACTGTAAAGCGGGATTCACAGAAGCTTTTTTGCGATGCGACAGGCGATGCGACAGGCGATGCGACAGGCGCGAAACCGGGAAAACCCCAAATCGCAGCCATGTCGCACTCCACGCAACTGCCGCAACTGGGCCATCGCAGGCCATCGCAGAGGTTGAGCTTGGCTCAACTTTCGCGATGCGATGCGACAAGCGATTTGGCGTACGATTTTGACCTTTTCTACAGCAAAGTTGTACAAAGGTTCAAGAGTTGCCTATAAATTTGTACAAGTTCTATCAAACCGCGCGGATATCATGGTGACGTAGCCAAATCAGCAAGATGTTGTCGCATCACTGACTTCTTCTGTGAATGGTATTTCGCGAGTTCGCATCGCACGTGTCCATCGCAGATCGCGTCGCATCGCGAGTCGCATCGCAAAAAAAGCTTCTGTGAATCCCGCTGAAGTCAACAAAATTTAATATTCGGCGCATATTTATTTTCGGCTATTTTCGGCCTGGTCATGTTTCGCCGAAAATTTGTTGTGGCCGAAATTTTGTTTTGCAAGGTTCAGTGTGACAGTGTAACGTTATATAAGCGGCAGCAGTACGAGGTGAATAGCAATTTCTGGACATGAAAATAAAATAGAGGCCCACTGGCTTTGTGTTTTACATTTTTCATATCTTTTTGTATCTATTGTATGGCCTAATCCTTCATCTTTCCAAATGTGTGACAATTGCTCATGCTGTGATCCCAGAGACTTTATAGCAGGATGTTTTCGACAGGTCAATTTTTTGGCCCAAATTTCAGTGTATGGAATTCTGGACATGAAAGTAAAATAGTGTCAATAGGCATCCTATACTGCACCATTTTTGTTATTTTTCTATTGGTGGACTGCAGTTGGCCTCTTCACACTTCCAGCCAACAGGTCCAAGACTATACAGCGTCTGAAGTGGAGTGCACATGGGGAAGCCAACGATTCGTCCATTACTTCTTATTTTACTCAAAATTCAAAATTCTCATGCCACATAGTACCACAAAACTCGTTGAAATGCCTCCCAAGAAAAGGCTATCAACAAGGCACCGACACGAGGAGAAACTACAACAGCCCAGCTGTCAACTGCAACAAGAAAAAACTTCATCAACCTGACTGACTTGACTCTACACGCGACGAAAAATTATTTTACTCGAAATGTCCAGAAATGTACAATGTCCAGAAATAGCAATTCACCTCGTACAGGCCGAAAATTTGATGGGGCCAAAATGGGTTTTAGCCCTGGGAGGCCGAGATTTGAATGGGGCGAAAATTTGTACACTTACAGTACCTAAAACGTTTGTCTTCTGCCCTCATACCCAGCTTCTAATGCAAGAGTTTGTGTGGAACAGTGCCGGTTCATGAACTTAGAAATGCATTTCCAGCCAACCAAAGCTAGGCTATGGTAGTGTGTTGATTTTCACAGTACATGCACAAACAGCCCAAGCATTGGGTGACACGTTGAGACGCATCGCTCACGTTTGTTGATGATGGAGATGAAGCCCTCGGTGCAGGCACGCGTGCTGCAGCATGTTGCCCGATAGCTGTCAATGGCCGTCGAGGCGTTCACCATAGTGTAGGTGAGATTGCCGAAGGAGAGCAGTGTGTAGACCACCTCACCATTGCGGTAGATACGATACCTGCAACAGAGCAACACAGGGTTTTTTTGTGTTTCGCTTATTCTACTTTCTTCAATACTCGGAAGCTCCATTGCACCCAATCAATCACCTCTCCAATACCTTCACAAGAACAGTTTTTCACTGCAGTGTCAATAAATTGGTACAGTAAGACCTGGTTTAAGCGACCACCCCACGGTGCAAGCAAACGCTGTCGCTAAAGCCAGGTGGTCTTTAGAACCAGGTGCCACAGTGTATGCGTAGAACTGTCCGTGCATGGAAAAAACGGTCGTTAAGACCAGAGGTCGCTTACACCAGGTTTTACTGTAACGAGTAATAACAAATTTATTGAAATTGAAGTGAACGACCATGGTTGTGAAGGTGTTGGAGGGAGGACTTCTTTTAAACTTTAAGAAAGGTTCTTGAAGAGTCCACTGCCGCCATTTTTACATCAGGGTCCCTCAGCTCAAACACACGGTCTCTTTGCTGCATACCGGTACGTATGCCACTGAACACTGCATGCCGGTACGTATGCCACTGAACATGTTCACGAAATATTCGGGCTGGGCACACCATCAGGGTGAAACAGAAAACTGTTTATTTAAACACGGAAAAGTCGTCACTGGGTGCGGGGGTGAGCGCTCAGATGCATACGGGACTGTTGCGGCCCTCTGCCATGGTAGAATTGATTGTATTCCACTTTGTGAAGAACAGGTAATGGATCAAAGGAAATTTTCGTCTACCACGGCCAGAGGGCTCTGATGATCTGTTCAAATAACAGTGAAACCGGTCAGTCAAAAACAATCTGTGCAATGATGAATTTGTGTCTTGGTCTATTCACTCAATAGCAATAGGGACTTTCCCCTTACGTCACACCGTCGCTCTCGGCCAGCAGGCTGCTGCGGCGCTCATAGTTCCAGGTCACGTGCACGTCGTTGCCGTCCTGGCTCAGGATGACGGGACCGAGCACGATGGGCGACTCGTACGGTCCCGTCACGATGCCCTGCGAGCCATTCACCGTGGAGTTGCCGGTGTTCAGTGGAATCTCGTAGAAGCTGCCGCCGATTCGAGCGAACAACTGGAAATTGTATGATGTGCTTGGCGACAAGTTGTTGATCTGTAGCAAAATAGGAACACACAAGTCGGGGCACCAGAGCAAACGTGAACAGCCTTAGGGGCTGACCGTAATTACCGGTACAGTCAGACCTCGCTTAACCGCACACATCCGTTTTCCACAAAAATATCCGGATAGGCGAGGGAACCGGATAACCGAACACACACACTGTATATGCATGTGGCATATCAAAAGGAGTGGCATCGGACATACATGTAGACGGGTCCTATGCAGTACAACTAGCGTGCACAATGAAAAAAATGACAAGTGCATGCAACTGAATGCTAATCGCATGCATGGGCCAGCAGGTCAAGGACCTCATTTGTTTGTACAACTCCCTGATTCTAGCTTCTGCAAGCCACGTGCAACCGGATACGATGATGCTTTGTGTACACATTTCGACCAGTTTGTACACAAAATCATGCACCGGTATGCGGATCGCGAGGTCCGGTTATGTTGTATGCATAACATATGCTGCACATCGGTAACCAGCGATTTTCTTCCGGATGGCGAGGGATCCGGATAAACGAGGACCGGATAAACGAGGTCTGACTGTATCTATCTTTTACACGAAACGAAAAAAGTTTCGTTTACGAGTGGGTGGGTCAAGGAGAGATTTGTTAAAAAAAACATTGATATGTGGAAAAGACAAGCCGGGACACCAGAACAAAGGTGAACGAACAGCCTTAGGGGCCCGGCCGAAGTTATCGATCTTTTACACGAAACAAAAAAGTCTCGTTTATGAGTGGGTGGGACAAGGAGGGTTTCGTTTTGAAAAAATACTGATATGATTGCGAGACACTAATGCATTCTAGCTGTCAAGTTAATCTATTTTTCGTTCGGGGGTGGGTGGGAGGGCGGGGGGAGGACCTAAACTTTTTTGTTTCGTGACAATTATCAATAATGCCGGACTGCCCCGTAGAGGCTTTCACGCTGCATGTTGTACTAAAATAGTTGAATGTCAGGAGTCGAAATCACTTGGTGTTTGAAGTCTCGTTCAATGCTTGGAAATAAAGGCAAAGAAAAAGAAAAAGCGGAGGGCTAGTTGGAGAAGAATATTTTGGTATCTTGCAATACTGTACGCCAATAACTCCGATCGGCACATTGTGGGGTTAATGCTGTCAACCCTTGTTAGCGCTTATCGCATGCACAGACTCTCACTGCTTCTTCCCCTCATGTTCCTTATACTTAGACGTGTCCTTTTGTCTTTAGGAATCTACATACATGTACATCGCTCATGCACTGCTCATGCACTGCTCATGCACTGCTCAGGCACTGCTCATGCACTGCTCAGGCACTGCTCGTGCACTGCTCAGGCACTGCTCGTGCACTGCTCATGCACTGCTCAGGCACTGCTCATGCACTGCTCATGCACTGCTCATGCACTGCTCAGGCACTGCTCAGGCACTGCTCAGGCACTGCTCATGCACTGCTCGTGCACGTCTGCGCACGCTGCACTGATTGGGGCACCCAATATGCCACCTGATGCGCACACACCACACACGCACGCATGCACGCACGCAGACACAGACACAGACATGCACGCACACAGACACGCACATGCACGCATGCACACACACGTACAAGGACACATGCACACACACACACACACACACACACACACACACCTTTGACCTTTGACCTTTGACGCCCATCGCCGGAGGCGATGATAGCAATGCTACGGCAGAAGCCATAGCAACTTGTGCTGGGATTACACCATTCAACAGCTTGCAAGGCTGAAGAATTGACCGTCACTATTCAGCCTGGTCTACACCATACAGCTATTTGGAGTGACATTTTCTGGCCAGTGAATCCCTATTTTTGGTGGGTGGGTGGGGGGGGGGGGGGGGTCACACACACACACACACACACACACACACACACACACACACACACACACACACACACACACACACACGCACACAGAACCACAGTTCCCTCGGCATCGCACTAAAACTTACACTAGTGGCGTTGGCAATGTCCAGTGATGCCGTGGCAATAGCTGTCCCGTTGTCAAGGGTTACATAACAGACGTATGTGATAGAAAGCTCCTGGGAGTAGCGGATTGCTTCATCGCTACCCTCCAGGGCAAGAATGCAGCCGTACGGACCACTGGCCTCGGACCGGATAAATACTGACGACGCTACCACATACGATATGCTGAAGAAGCTAGTGAATGTACGACCTTTTCGGCCAAGAGAACACACAACAAAATAACAAGTTACAAGTAGACCGTAATTGGTGTGTATCATTCAAACAATAATAAGAGGACGAAAACAGTTTTTTTACTCCGAGTGTAGCATTCAAATAGACTACATCAGTGATCTGGAACTGTAGATAAGCAAGTTTGATCACAGAAACGCTATTCTCGCTATTCTCCCACTTGTCGTTGCAAAGCAAAATTTGTTGATTGTGTGTGAGTGTGTGTGTGTGTGTGTCCCAGCACAAGTTGCTATGTCTAACACAGCTGTTCGCTATCATCGCTTCCACGATGGGCATGTCTGAGGTCTGAGGTGTGTGTGTGTGTGTGTGTGTGTGTGTGTGTGTGTGTGTGTGTGTGTGTGTGCACGTGTGCACGTGTGTGTACATGGTGTGGGATAGAAATATATAGAGCCAGAGACAGAATGCATGCACGCTGGATAGATAAAAATGTAGAGAGAGAGGGAGAGAGAGAGAGACGAGAGAGAGAGAGAGAGAGAGAGAGAGAGAGAGAGAGAGAGAGAGAGAGAGAGAGAGAGAGAGAGAGAGAGACCCACACTCATGGTCACTGCAGCATTGACCATACCACTCTTTGCCCCATGGTACCCAGTGAATTAATAAAACGCACTGATTAGGGCTCTACATGTTGAAGATTTATCAGAGGAGCCGTCCATTCCCATAAGTAAATTGTATTTCACGTGGCTGACCGTACTATCCTAAGTTTTGTTCCCACACCCCTACGTGGGATGTTGAACGACATGAATAACTGAGCGACATCAGCCTTACCGACAATGGACGTATAGTAGTGGCCAGTAGAGAAGTAAGCCAGGTTACTGTATGCGCAGTTGCCACCGTCACCCCGGCAGGCACGCAGCCTACACGAGTATGTTTCATTCGCCATCAGAGAGAAAACGGAGCATGTACCCAGAGCTGCACACACAGCAAAAGGAAACAATATCTGTCACGATCATCATCATCATCATCATCATCACAAGCCCTTAGCTCTAAGGCCGTCGGGGCGTCATACAGCAAGTATGAACAAGCGAGCGCCATAAAAATCGATCGCGTGCAGCAGCGAGCAGGGACTGCACGTCAAGTGCAGTCCATGAAATAATATTATCAAGCCAAGACATTCTGGGCCTGCCTCGGCCACGACCTCCAGCAACACAACCCTGAAGAACCCTTTGTGTGTGTGTGTGTGTGTGTGTGTGTGTGTGTGTGTGTGTGTGTGTGTGTGTGTTGCTGGAGGAGGTCTGTCACGATACAACCAACATATTACACTCCCCCCCCCCCCACTCCCCCACTCCCACCCTTCGCTATCATACTATTGGGCTACGATCCGGTTTGACTTTGAGGAAAATGCAACACTGGAGGATACGTTGAGAACAGGCAGGTTCAGGAACAGGTACGGGCATCTGTGAGTAGAGTGGTTTCACCATCAAGGTTCTAGCCAAAGGACGGCAGGGGGTGCAGCCCTCCTCATCCCCTACTCTTTGTTTTCTAGAATGCTTATGTTTACCACACTTATACGTCCGGTTCTATTACATGTATACAACTGTGGTCTGTGGACCTTGACAACAGCACTCGGCAACAAGCTTGACACAGACTGCGATCCATTCTTGGCATAGTGCATCTCCAAAGAATATGGAACAAAAACCCGTACAAACTGTCCGAGTACAAATCACCACAGCATGCAGGGAAAGGCGCTTATTATGGATTGGCCATGTGATCGGAGAAGGCATTGGTTCCACATCCGACAGCAAGAAGCCCAGAGGACGCCCCGTAACCAGCTCCAGTGTTTGGCTCACAGCCTGTCCTTTCCAGAACTCTCATGTGCGAGTCCAGAAAATCCACACCAGGGGGCACAGTCCACGAGACAATAGGAATGCTCAAGGATTTGTTGGTGTTGTCGAGGATTATCTTCCTCAACAACGAAGTCCTTTGGACAGCATCACGGAGGAGTTTGAGGATCTTTGTGGGCTCTCAAAATGTGGCGGAGCCATCTATGGCACATTAATGAAGATGCAGAAGCCACATATGCACTGGGATAGCTACTGGTGCTACCAGCAGTATACTGCTATGCTAACCCTTGCTGTCGTGGACGTGACGAAGGGCGTCTCACAGTGAATGTGGGGAATCCTCTCTTTCTGCTAAATGCGCAGGCGATATAATAGTTTGATGCAATATGGATGATACTCCAGGATTGGGAAATGGCCAGTCTGTCAGCATGCTCCTGAGGAGCTCTGGTCTACATATTGTGGAAGTGATGACGCGGAGAAGCTACCCCGCCTTATGGGATGAGACTTCGTTCAGTGACCCTGTGCTCAAGCAATTCATAATGATGAATGATTCCGTGTTCAGTACGGGGTCTTATCAGCCTTTGAAATTCCCAGACTTGCGTGCTTCAAGCATGGCTTGCTTGTACGGACAAGCCGCTGTACTACCTCATGCGACCCCATCAAGGAGATCAAGGAACACCTTTCCTTGCTAATAATGTATCTTCTCTAGATGGTGGCGACATACCGGTAGCCAAGGTCCCTTGAATCACTGCACCGCTTCCATCAGTGGCAAAGGCAGCTGGATTAACCTGGCTTTTATCTAAAGATGAGTGAAATGATGTGAGGCCCGCTATCACCGGCCAACGTCCAACATCGTACACGGAGATCAATGTGACGCATTGGGGTATCACAAGCTGCTCATGCTGATCAATGTATCTACAATTATGTACACTGCACTTGCTCAATGCTGCAGACAGCAAGCTGTTTCGGCCATCTATGCTCATCAGAGCAGCTAAGAGCTTTAAGAAAGATGAGCTACCGGCGATGGTGCAAAGGTGGCAGCAGAGACATTAAGATTGTTCGTCCCTCTACGTGAAGAATGACTTAACCCTTTGTGTACGGACTGTACGAGTTTCGATCTAATAAGATCGAAACTTCGTAACTTCGTAACTCCATCGTTTCTTGAGCAAATTCCACATCGAAGGGTCTACGTGGTAGCGGGAACTCCAAGCTGTCCAATGCAACAATCGCCGAAGAGTTACAATGTCGGACGCCAGAGATATCGCACGCCGTATTCTTACCTCGGCAAATTCAAATTTTTGATCGATCATTTCGCCATTTTGGGGGAAAATCCCTTTTCGTGTGCTCTTTGAGCGACTGAGCACATGATAATGACGTAGCCGGCTGAAGTTTGAATCGTCTCAAACAGATTTGAGCGTTCTGCGATGAAGGAGAGTGGAATGGCGTTGATGGGACGAATTTGCTTGCATATCAGGCTTGGAGACGACTTTGCTGTGTTACCGCGCCTGATTTGTGGCGGCCGGATAATGGAGATTGGTACCCTGACGTAGCTCTCGCCAAGAGCTTTCCAATGAGCCCTTGATTGTGAAAATCAAGTGAAGGACACCAAAGTTATGACATGGAAAAGTTGAAAATTGTACTGACATTTTGTAATTCTGGTGCATACTGTGCTAGTAATCCGTCCATAAAGGGTTAAAGAGAATAAACGTTTCCATTGTCGAAGCGGAACCTATATCCCAAGACAGGGAAGTTTGGATCAGCATTGTTATCAATGTACTAACTTTTCATGCTTAACATATCTGCGCTTACTGAAATATCTTTTTCGGTACAAAATTCCGGTATATACCGTAAAGTCGTGGATAGAAGCCGGGCTTATAAGCATATAAGCCGCTTTCTGCATCAGGCTTTAATGCAAACCAGGCTTGTATGAAAAACCATGCTTATATGCACCCCTGATATTTTTACCAGGCTTGTATGCCAGGCTTCTACGCCCGACACGCGTAGATCTACCACCGACTACCGGTATGGTGGCAGTTTTACTATGCACCGTACATAGCGCATGCACTCTTGACCTACCCGATCCGCGCTTGCATAGAAGCCAGGCTTCTACGCGCGACAGGCTTACATGCATTTGACCTGTTTGATTTTCAGGCTTCTATCCGCGATGTCCGCGACATCATGGATTTCTAACATTAAAAGTTGGACGGGTCTTCCCTTGCATGCTCTCTCTCATGCAGCACACGATAGAGCTGGATTCAGAGACATCATTCACAATTCTCTCGCTGATTAATGCCTCTACGATCACCTTGTGATTATGAGTTATATATACATACATACATCCGCGATGTGCTTGTATGCAAACCCGGCTTTTATCCGCGCCTTTACCGTAGTCATCATGCCTTCTGTAAGTCAACAAATATTCGGCGCATATAAAAACATTTTCCAGCTATTTTCGGCCTGGTCATATTTCGCCGAAAATTTGTTGCGGCCGAAATTTTGTTTTTCAAGGTTCAGTGTGACAGTCAGTGTACACATGTACAGCGGGTAGCAGTACAGGCCGAACATTTGATGCGGCCGAAATGTGTTTTAGCCCCGGGAGGCCGACATTTGAATACGCCGAAAATGTATTGACTTAAAGTAAGCTTGTGATGGAATCGAGGTCGGTTTTCCCTTCAACAACGGGATGGAGAAAATGCGTACATGTATTTCTCGTTTTTATTTCTCTTTTACCGACAGATGCGTTAACACTATGAGTATGAGTGATCTCACTCATGGGCTATACGCAAACTGCTTTTCGTATTACTAGTATTATTTCAGGACATCCCAAAAGTCATAGCCTTCACGGGACGGGAGAATTCCTACCTGGCTTTGAGCCGCAGTAATAGGGAGATTAAGATGCACGTTATTTCCGACGTGACGCTTAACTTCACGTCAAATTTGGCGTAACACTCCAAATTTCGACGTGAGCTGCAGGTCACAAGTTGTGTTGCTTCTTGTTTTTCGACGCGCGAGGTAAATAACGCAAGCTGAAGTTTCGCGTCACGTGAGTATTAACGTGCATCTAAAACCTCTCTATTTCGTACTTTACTGGACCTGACCACGACATGTAAACTAAATTCAAGTTTGCACATCCGCGTTACCACCAGCTCACGATTGTGCTGAGAAACACAACCAGCTTAAAGACGTTTCGCTCTTGCCGGGCCACCACCCTGCCTGATTGTACCAGGGTGGCAGATGCAGTGCCATTAACGGCCAGGGCATGTGCACAGTCGTGGCCAAGGAAATCCCACCCACGAATCAAAAGCAGCGCCGCGTTTCCATTTCAATTGCAAATCA